CAGGCATGAGCCCAAAACTGGTACCAAGAAAAACTCTAAGTGGAGGAGCAAAACAAGCCAACTTCTAATATTTCTAGGTGAAAACGTAGGTGAGGGCATGAACCATAGAGATTATTAGAGAGAATTCCCTAAGACCAATCCCACTCTGGGTGAGTTCAGGGCTGCAGTTAGACAGAGGTAGGAATTACTCCTGTCAAAAACTGGCCACCTTTGACTTCATTCTGAAATCAAAGCAATAACATTAGACAAGGAGGACCTTAGTAAAATTAATTCCTGAGAGCCACAGACCAAAGAAGTAGAGATGAAATGTTGGGCATTGAATGGGGCCAACATTAGAAGACGTGTGGTGTTGCTAGCTTTCTGGTCTAAATTATAGATACTCAAGATACTCAAGATCCTCACGTGCAAAGGACTATAGGGAAAAGGTATAAGCAGTTTCTAACACCTGGACTCCTAGAATCTCAGGGACTTTAGAAGTCACCTAGTCCAACACGAGTCCCCTTTACAATGTCCATCAAATGGACACCCAGCTGCCACTGGAACATTGACTCTTCACACTGTTATATGGTGCTCTTCCCACAACAATGCTGTAAATTAAATGGGGCAAGATCTCACTTATTCTATCAATAAGGAAACTGAGGCTTAGAGAGATAAAATGCCTTGGCCAGAAGCCCAAAGTTAGTGAATGTCGAGTAGGGACTCAAGCCTAGCCAGCACCCTTTTCACTGCCCCTTAGCAACCAGGAGCTTACTATCTCAATAGGCAGGCAGTTCAGTCCCGGCCATTGCTGGGTTGCTCTAATGGTTAGATAGTTCTTTCTAATATTGACCTGCAATCCGCCTCCCTTTAATTTATACCAATGGCCTTAGCTCTGCCCTCTGGTGCTACATAGAGTTAGTTTAATCTCTCTTCAAGATGACAGCTCTTAATGTATTGGAAGATGTCTGTCACCATTCCCTCCATTTCCTCCCCCCGGCTTCTCTTCTCTGGGTTCAACCCTAGTCCTTGGTAGCCTATGGTTTTAAATCCTCTCACTGGTCTGGTAAGCTTCCTCAGGGTAGGTTTTAGCTTATCAATGTCTATTGAAAGGTGATACCCAGAACTGAACATAGTATTTCAAATATAGTCTGAACAAGACAGGAACACTACATGCCTCTCGATGGAGCCCAAGAGCACGGTAGCTTTTTTGGGCTGCCAAATCGTAGACCATAACTGAATTTGAAGTCTACTACCCTAAAATCACTAAGAAAAAAAAACCCCATACTACCTGAACTGTCATTAAGCCAGATTTCTCCAATCTGCTACTTGGGCAAATCTGAGTATAGGACTTTTTATATTTAGCCCCGTTAGCTTCCTGTACATTGTTCTAACCATCAAATTCTGAGTCCATCATCCAATGCATTCGCTATTTATCCCAGCTTCATGTCACCCACAAATCAAATAAGCATGTCATTTATCCAGATCATTGATAAAAATGCTAGACTTAACAAGGTTGAGGACTGGTTCCTGTAGCACTGCACAACAGACTTGATTTTTTAGGTACACTCTGAGTGTGGTCATTAAACCAGTTCCCTATCCACTTAACTATACCATCATCCAACCCCCATTTTTTCAACTTGTCCACAAGGATGTCAGGACAGATTCTGTCATAGGCCTTGCTAAAATCCAGACATGCCAAATTCATAGCATTCTCCTGATCTTATGAACCCACGATGGTTCCTAGTGATTACTGCTTTCGCCCTCAATGCTCTGAAACAATCTGTTTAATGATCTGCTAGAGAATTTTGCCACGGATCAACATTAAGCTTACTAGTCCAGAGCCTCTGAAAACCACCTTTATCCCCTTTTTGAAGAGCAGAACAAAATTTGCTCCTCCCTCCATGATTCCTTCACAATTGCCAACATCTGTTTTGAAATGATATCTGTACATCATTTCAGTACCCGGCAATGCTATTCATCTGGGTCTGCTCTTGAATTCACTCATTTAGAGCAGCAGGTACTCTCTTATTATCTCTCTCTTAATCATGTTTATTCTACCTTTTCCATTTTGCAGGTAACTCTCAAGTGGGAAGACAGAAGCAAACTTCCTCCAGACTGCAAATTCACTTCATGTTTGGCAGCCAGGGGCTCTAAACCCCGACTGCATATCTCCTCTACAACAAGATCAGCATAAGCTTCCCACCAGAGCCCTTGTCTTCAGTTTAAAATAACCACAGTAGCAGCAGCTTACATTAATATAAGATTTACCAAGTACTTCACACACATTATCTCATCTGAGCTTCACAACAACCCTTGGAAGTAAGTACTGCAAACATAATTTTCCCCATTTTGCAGAGGAGAAAATCAAGGCTTGGAGAGGTTATGACTTTCCCCAGGTCATAAAGCTAGTAAGTGACAAAGCCAGGACTCTACAAGGTGACTCAGCCACTAGCCCTTGTTTAGTTCAAAGTCTCTAAGCCTCAAATTCTGATTCTTCCTCCCAACCCAAGGAATTTTTTACCCAAATATTTGTTGAATGTTCAAAGCAGAGGGGTGTTAATGGTCATGGAAAATACTTACAGTAACCATCTTTAGTTAAGGGAATCCCTTCTCCTTTCCCTTTCATTGTCCTAATTAATAATAAACATGGAAGCTATGTCCCTTGCCCCACCTCAAGATCTCTCTCTCTCTCACTCACACACACACAAACACAACACACACACACACACACACACACACACACACACACACACACACACATTCCTCTGGTCTTTGTCCTATAAAGGAATCATTTTCTCCAGTGTCCTTCCTTTCACTATCAGTGAAGATTCAGTAAAAAGGAACTGGTTTCCATTTGGAATGATTCTAGACATTGAAACAGGAAGGATGGTGTTCATTACACCACCACCAAGCTATCACTATACTACCCCACCTCCTGCCAAAATGCCCAGAGAACAACACTCTCATTCTGAAGAATAGCCTGTGTATTTCCAGGTTGTGAATTTCCTGCATCACTCTCTCAATGGTGTCAAATCTCAGTCACAAAGGCAAGATTTTGAGCGGGTGAGACCAAGAGAAAGGGAGATAGCATGATAGGAGGAAGAAAGTAGGAAAGGGGAGGGGCAGTCAGACAGAAATTGAACAAGGGAAATAAGAAATAGATCAAGAGAAACAGGTAGAAAGAGTACAAAAAGACAAAAGAAAGAGGGAAAGAAAGAGGGAAAGAAAAGGAAAATGAACACATTCCTGCAGGCAACATTTACCTGTTTATTTTTTATTCTCTTCAGGTCATTCAAGTCAAAGGAATTCGGCTCCAAACATTCAGTTCTGGGTCTACTCATTAAGCTTAATTCCACTGAACCCAACCCCCAGGTCTATGTACCATACTTCCTTCACATTGGTATCTTTTCTATTTTTAAAACAGACTTCATGAGGGTGTTTCCCCCATCCTTTTCAGCTGAGAAATCTCTCCTCTCTCTCCGTATAGCAAATCTCCCCATGCCTCCGGCCACATCTAGCCTTTCACATTCCCCACCCTTTTCCATCCAAACCCTAACAGAACGAACATGGGTAGTTAAGAATCCTTAAGCTGATCAAGAAAGTATCTTTCTCTCACCTTCTGCCTTTAAATCTGCTCTAACCCCAGACTCTATTTAAGCCACTACCCAACTATGACCTCTCTCAATATTGGGAACATTGCCCTAGGGAGTTTGGATTGGCCATGGGTGACTAATTTTCTAGAAACAAATTACACCCCAACACAGAAAGCAGACATACATTAGTATGTCTATGTGCCCACACAGCATGTACCATATGGACACATATGCACATATGTAAAGAATATAAACACACGTATACTGTAATACATTGAGCATATATATACATGAATGTACAGTATATGTAGAAGGTACCTGTGTTAAGTATTATGAAATGTCTAAATTCATATACAGTGTATATACAGAAACACATGCCCGGCTTTAATATATTATGTATGTATATATAATATATATATAGATACATACACATATACACACTAAACATATCATATACAAGTACAGACACATAAGCACACCTCTCTGCACACCAACAGGAGATACAGGCTATTAGAGACACATTCTTGTCAGTATCTTCCCTCCCTAGTTTCAGCTTGCAAGCTGATTGGCCAGAGATGATGCTTTTCTCTTTTTCTCTGTTCTGTATTATGGCCGATACCAAATCACGCTCAATGAATGTTATAAGCACAAGTGTACTTCATATTTAACATGTACATTAATAGCTCCTGTTTCTCAATCTCTACATGTGGGGACTGAAATCTTAGGAGAAATGTGGTGAACACAAGAAATTGTGTTCTTGCACTTTGCCACTCTGCACTGGGCATTCGAGGAAGCTTATCATTATGTGCTCCTGGGCGTGTGTAAGGTCAGCATTCTGCTTCCTTAGAAATACCTGCCGCCTATTAAGGCTGATGAGGAGTCCGGGCGTCCTTGTCACCCTGGCTAGCCCGTGTCTTTATTTATTACTTATTCTCATTGCTTCTTTCTCCCCTCTAGGTAAGAGCGCCTTCCCCACACATTGGGTGACACATTGTGTGTGTGTGTGTGTGTGTGTGTGTGTGTGTGTGTGTGTGGAGGTGGGGGGAGGGGGGTTGCTGGGGAATGAACTCGTTGCTATGCAACCGTCCCCATCCTGCCCTCGCTTCCCATTTTCAGTTGGACCTCTTACTCTGTGCTCCCCAATCCTAAAGTGAATGTTCTTTAGCAAGGGCCCATTAATCCATGCCCATACCGGACAATCCACGTGCCCGGCGTGGTTCTGTTTCAAGGCTCCCGAAGAGATGCCCAGAATGATGCCCCCTTCTTCCACTCAGACGGTGGCATCCCATCTCACAACTTCTTCAGGATTCCTGATAAACTGCACTAGAATTCTAGGCTGTTCCCCCTCCCGACCCCCTCCCCGGGCCCAGTTTGACGCCCCCTCCTCATCTCCTCCCCTGGGAGCTCCCCCTGACCGGGGCCCCTTACCTGCAGCATCACTTTGTACTGCTCCTCTGGCTTCCGGACCACACACATGTTACATCCCATGGTGCCAGCCGGGGAGTGGGGTGGGGAGGGGGGAGGCTGGGGGGCGGCGGGCGGCGGGCGGCGGGCGTCGGGCAGGCGGCTCCTGGGCTCACTGGTCCAGCCGCAGGGTGGGTGGGGAGCCGGGGGCTCCCGGGCCGCTGGGCGGGGGGGCCATGGCGCGGCTCGGGGGCGGGGCCGCGCTCAGCGGGGGAGGGGGGCACGCCCCTGGCCCCTCCTCCCAGGAGTGCTGCGCGGGCCGCAGCCCGGCCAGGGGGGCATGCTCCCCTGGACCTCGCGGAGGGGCCGAGCGCGAGGGCGGGCCGAGGCGCGCGTTGCCTAGCAACGGCCGCCCCCTCCCTGCCTGAGCAGACGGGCCCGAGGGCGGCGGGTTGTCAGGGGCCCTCCCAAGAGGGCTCCTGCCCGTGTCCGCTGTCACCGCCTCGCCCCGACCCGGCCCGGTCCGGCTTGTCCCGCCAAGCAGCAGGAGGCGGAGGCGGAGGCAGAGGCGGCGAAGGCAGCGTCTCCGACAGCCCAGCGCCTCACCCGCGCTTCGGCCGCCTGGCCTCCCCCGCCCTCTCTCTCTGTCTCCTCCTCTCTCCCTGACTGTAGGGCGCTCGCCAGCCAAGGGGGAGGGGGCGCAGCGCGCAGGCGCACTCCGGGTCCGGGAGGGGAGGGGGAGAGCGAGGGGGAGATAGTGGGGTGGAGAAAGACACCTGGAGCCCTTTCGACCTGGGGTGGGGGCGGAGGCTGCTCCCTCCTTCCGGCTCGGCTCGTGACCCTACTGGTGCTCACGCCCTGCCCTCGCCCTTCCTGTAGAACCCCAGATGCCGTGAAAGGGGTCTCTCAGTGCACCCACCCCGCCTTCGCAAGGCGGACTTGGGGGAAAGGGCACCACCTCCTGAGATCGATCCCTCGCGCTTCCCCCGCCCCTTGCTCCCCCATCTCCTTTACTGTCTTCGATAAAAGGAGCCTGGAAACTAGGGGAGTCAGGGGGCCACTAGGAACCCTGGCTCTGGTCTGGCTTTGGGTCCCCCACCGCTCCCAGCCATAATCTCTGTTTCAGCTTCTCCCTGTCGACATCCCTCCTTCTCTCTCATGTCTGCCTTTCTACTTCTACATAATTGTTCTTCAGCATCCCTGATTCATTGCCATGGTTGGTGGGTTGTTTTTTTTTTCCTCCGTAAGAACTTGCGTCTATGCGCTCCCCCCACCCCCCAGCCGGGGGAGGTAGGTAGACAGGGCAAGGATTATCCATCCCATTTTTGTTTAGACCAGCCCTGTGATGTCCTTTGGAGAAAAAGCTCCCACAAACCAATGAAACTCTAGCCTTACGGAGTTGCCTTTACAGGTGAGAAATGGGAGGTTCATAAAACGAGAAGTGACTTAGCCCTGATCACTCCAAGAACAATACTTTTCACTAGATCAATCACTTCATTGAACCCTAGAATGGCATATCAACCCTTCAGAAAGTCGGAATGAGAGCTCAGGAGTCAATCCCCCTCTTCCCCAAGGTACCTCAACCCCCTTTCCATGAGGGAATCGGAAGGAAATCAGTCTGGACTAAGCCATCAGAAAGTATTTCTAGGCAGAAACTCAGAAATAGCCAACAGAGGTGACCCCGTCAATAGATGCTGTAAAGAAACAAAAGCTGAGACCCCTATGTAACTCTAGGAGTCAGGGGGCCTGAGTTCTAGCTCAGGCTTTGATTTCAATTTAATGTGTTACCTTAAGCAAGGCATTTACCTCACTAAACCTCAGTTTCCACCTCTAAAATGAACAAGATAGCCTCTGAGGGAGGCCCTTTCCAGCTTTAAATCCCGTGAGTCAGTCTCTTCCCTTCTCTGGGACCTTTTTCTTTTCGGTAAAATGAGAGGATTGTGCCTCCTTACAGAAAGGTGATAGATGCAACTCATAGAAAGAGACATTTTGGACATGGACACCTCTTGAATTTGTTACAGGAATCTTTCTTTGGTTTTAATGGGGGGAGAGAGTCAAGTTTAGCAATTCCCCCTCAAAGAGGGCCATCGAAACTTTTTTTTTAAACACAGAGAACAAAAGGGAGAAACACACAAGTAGGAGAGTTTTGAAAGTAAACCTCAGACTTTAGTATATGATGTTTTGTTGTTTTTAAAGCAAGTGGTATGAAATAGAGACTCACAATTTCACATACAAGCTTCTTTTTGTGCTCTGTAGTGTATATGGAAATATTTGGGGGGGGGAGGTTGGGGTGTTTAAGTCCAGAATAAAAAGATAAAATTCATTAAGAGAAATAAAGTGAGAGGGTTAGCCTCCAAGGTCTCATCCACTTCTAAATCCTCTGGTCCTGGGAATCCAGCTCCAAATCTCAATGAGTCAATGAAAGGCACTCTAATTACCTTTCCCATTGTGTTTTATTTCTCTGTATTCCTTTGTGATAAACCCTAGCAGAGCACACTTAAGAGACAATAGCAGTCCACGATTCTCCACCATGAAACGTCACTGGAAGAAAATTGTTTAGAAGATGAGCCTTTACTTTTTGTGGTGGCAAAGATTTAGAAATTTAAGGGATGCCCATCAATTGGGGAACAGCTGAACAAGTTGTGGTATATGAATGTAGTGGGATACTATTGGTCATAAGAAGTGGTGAGCAGGTGGATTTCAGAAAAACCTGGAAAGACTTACATGAGCTGAGGCTGAGTGAGTCGAGCAGAACCAGAACATTGTACACAGTAACAGCAACGTTGTGTGATGACTGACTTTATTAGACTTAGCTCTTCTCAGCAGTGAAATGATCTAAGACAATTCCAAAAGACTCATGATGGAAAATGCCATCCACATCCAGAGAAAGAACTATGGAGTCTGAAAGTAGATCAAAGAACACTATTCTCTCTCTCTCTCTGTTTTTCTTTCTCATGGTTTTTCCCTTTTGTTCAGATTCTTCTTTCACAACATGACCAATGTGGAGATATGTTTAATATGATCATACATGTATAGCCTATATCAGATTGCATGCCATCTTGGGGAGGGGGAAGGGGGGAGGGAAAGGAGAGGGGAAATTTAGAACTTAAAATCTTACAAAAGCAAATGTTGGAAACTAAAAATAAATTTTAAAAAGATGAGTGTTTATTTCAGGATGGTTTCCCCAAAAGTAATCCAGCTGGTTTTCTTCCCTCATTCAATTCTGGACCCAGTTTACTGTCCATCTGCAGTATCTGTCTGTCCAAAGCACCACCAGCTCAATCGCCTCTCCATCCTGGTTACTGGAGCATAGAGGTGTACACAGGCAGCAGAAGAAGCTAAACTTAGCTTAGCACCAGAAAAGGATCAGAGAACGGGAAGGGACCTTAGAAATCATTGCGTCTAACCAGGTGATTTGCTCAAGGTCACAGTAATAAGCTGCAGAACTGGAATATGATCCAAGCTCTTCTGGTGCCATTATTCCATACAGATGGCCAGTGTGTTCCATGGATACCTACGTAAGGTCAAGAGGTTCTAGCAGAAGGCCCACAATACATCAGGTGTACCACAGACAGGAGGGAGACATTGCTACATCTCAAAACGCTCATTATCTCCCATGTTCTCTTTCTTTACTCCAGACTTTCCCTTCTCTTCATCAAGGCCACCTCCTTTGCTTTTGCCCTTGAACCCAGTGGATTCAATTATCACCTTTATGCTGATGATTCTCAAATCTACTTAGCCAACCCTAACCTCTCTCCTCTCACACCTCCAATAGACTACTGGACATCTCAAACTGTATGTCCTGTACCAATACTAAACATAATATATCCACAACTGAACTTTTTATGGTTTCCACCAAATCCTCCCCTTTTCCTAACTTCCCTGTTACTCTTGAGAGTACTACTATCCTCCCAGTCAGCCAAGCTTACAACCTGGGTGTCAACTTTGACTTCTCCCTCCCCATATTTAATCAGTGGTCAAGTTCTGTTGTTTCTACCTTCAACACACATCTCAATTATGTCTCATTCATTCCCCTGATGCTACCACTACCATGGTGCAGGTTCTCATCATCTCATGCCTGTTGGTGGGTCGGCCTGCTTCAGTCTCTCCCTACTACAATCCATCTTCCACTATCAAAGTGACCTTCCTAATGCACAGGTCTAACCATGTCACCCCCCTATTCAATCATCTCCAGTGGCTCCCTATCACCTCCAGAATCCAATATAAAACCCTTGGACATTCAAAGCCATACATAACCTGCCCTCTTTTATCTTTCCAGTCTTGTTATGCCTTACTCTCCTCCATGTGCTTTGCCATCCAGTGGCACTGCTTCCTTGCTATTTCTAGCACAAGACACCCCATCTCCAACTCAGGACATTTTCTTTTTAAAAATTAATTAATTTACTAATTTTTAGTTTTTACCATTCACTTGCATCAGATTTTGAGTTCTAAATTTTCTCCTTCTCCTTCCCCTCTCCTCACCCCAAGACAGCATACAATTTGATATAGGCTCTACATGTACATTTGTTGTGGTCTGAGAGGTTGAGACCCCTCAAAAATGGGAGTACAGGATGGGGTCGTCTGCAATGAATTCACAGACTCAAGCATTCTTTAAGTCAAGTTGGCAAAAAGTTTATTGTTACGCTTTTCAGGGGGCAAGGATTCTTAAGGAACCTGCGAGAGACTGAGGATGGAGCTAGGGTTTATATGGAAAAGAGCATGGTAAAGGAATGCCAGGGATACTGATTAGGTAATCTAAAGGTCCAGGTGTCTTTGGGAGCTATGGATGGAAAGTGTAGGGAGTACACCAAACAGGGGGGGAGATGTCAGAGGCATGTATCTTGGGAATCTGGAAGGAGGAAGAGTCCTTGGGCCAGCCAAGGACAAAAAACTCCTTGCACCAGACAGGACACTCCTCCCTTCTCTGTCCTGATTAGCAGCAAGGAAAAGTTTTCTCATAAGATAGGAGCTTACTAAGGAATTGGGAGGCTTCCAGAGACATGATCTTAGGGCTGGGGGCAGCCCAGCACTGTCTCACCCAGCTTTGTGTAGCTGCACCAGGGAGAGAGATAAGGGTCTTTCTGGGGCCCACTCGTGAGTAATTGCTAGGCATAATGTC